ATGCATAAAAATGGCGACCGAAAGCACTCCGTTAATACCACTTTACACGGCCTGCAAGCCTGGTACGCGTTCGAGCAAGTTCATCCTAGATCGACAAAGCTCGTCGTAGCCCGTACGTATTCGGGCTTTGCCTACTTAGGCGGAAATTATAACAGCTTTGTTTGCTAACTTATAATATGACATCACATCACGTAATATTATTCTAGAAAGGAATAAAAAAGGACAATAAATATCAATTTAAACAATAAATCAATTACTTAATAAATAAATAAAATACATTCTAAATTAATATATAGCTAATAGAAACGATATAAAAGAATTAAAAACAGCATATGTACGCATACGACAAAAGGATTATAGGATAATGACGAATTTACATATATTTGAAATGACTCACGTAGAATTTATTTGAAACTGCGCAAAACAACTAACAGCATATTCATATACATATAATAATAATATNATATAATTAATAACTTTTTCTTTTGATATCGACAACATTAACTCAAAAAACAGATCACAACAGTATTTTTATAAACATTTAAGTTATTATATAGTTTCAACCATGTAAATACGTAACGTATTATATTTTTAGTAAATACGTACTTGACAACCTTTTTAATTTGGCAATAAAAATTTCGTTGACATTTTATTAACAATATAAAATAATTTGTTCCTATTATAAAAACGTAACAGCTGCCTACACATTATTTATTATAACAGGACAGTATTAAGTATCATTTTTATAAGCTTTCTTTACGTTTTTTATCTAATGTCTATAGCTTCACAGTTTACAGATAGATAAATATATACACAATTGGTACTTTTTATATTAGTTAGTACATATGTAAATGTATACGTAGATAAAAATATAAAGATAAGAAATATAAAATCGAAGCTTCTTGTAAATATTTAGACTTATTTATAAAATTACCATTGAATATAAAATAAGTTTAATTAAAAAAATCTTGTTATGCGATATGTTGTGGGTTTTCATTGGACATTTGGTTCAACCATAACAAATTGGTGTTTGACAATTTCAACTTTAGATAATTTGATAATAATATTCAATAAGAAATAGAGATTATAGACTTGGTTCTATATATATGTATACGTTGTGGAAATTTAATTGATATTAGTTGATAGTTACTAATCAATAAGTTCGAGCCTATCATCAATTTGTTGACGTAAAAAGCTTTAGTTTTAAAGGCAAGCTTTTCTATTTACATAAACACATTTAAGTTTGAAAAACTGGGGATGAAGGAATTCTATTATACTCAAACTTATTTCAAAATCGGTCTTTTCCTGAACGACTAAATTTAATTAAAAAAAAAATATTTGGGATTGTCTTTATTTATTGTTATTAAAACTAGGTATAAAATAATGATAATGAATGTAAGCACATTAAAGAAAAGATTTAAGTTTAAGACTAATGTTGAAATAAGGTTTGACATAATCTTCTTTGATTTCCTTCACCATTTAAAGCATCGTCCGCGATCTGCTCTTTGAAGCAGTTTTTTTAACTATCACGCTATACCTACGTGATTTTTAATAGTAACCATTAAAATTATCATCTATCTAATGACACTCTACACGGTTTCAATAAATATTGTTCATATGTAATAGCTATACAATGTTAATGAGTTAAATTAGCTGAATATGTTTATTGATATAACTACGACAGAAGTAGAAGTCTATCTACCTGCTATTTTTATACCAGTTATACATGCATGTATTTATGTATATGTAGGTAGAAACATCATTGGTATTATTTTATCATAAGACAAAGTTCAAATGTTCCCAAGCCAACCCTGCATTTATACTAGGTTGTTAATTTTTTTTTGTTAAGTTTTCTTGTAAACTTAGATGTACATGTGCTTTATTTTTATATAAAAAAGAGAATATCAAAAGGTAAAAAATTACGTAAAAAATGACTCAAAATCGTCTACCTTAAAAACATTAAATAATTAAATACTTTATAAACGATTTAAACAGTTCATCATTAAGCATTTTACTTCTACCTTTTAGAAAATCAATTATACCATTGTAAATATTTTACTGATTCTTATAATACAATTTTCCCTTAACACCCTGTACTGTGCTATTTCTGTATTTGGTAGGTACCTGAATTTTATTTGAATTTTATAATTACTAATTAAAATGGCATAGTATAAACATTGCGTGCTTTAAAATGTAATCCTTTAGCAAATAAGCATTACCTTCTACTTAAATTCATAGCAACGTTGAGCTTTTAAAGCTTCCTCCAAAGTTTCCATCATAAGCACAAAATATATGCAAATTTTTAGTAGGTATCACTTAAGCAATACCAACCCCAGGTAGGTACGTACATATATAAAATATTTCGACCTTTAAAAGGTTGTCAAAAACAAGCAACCATCTATTTTGCATAAAAAGATATCCTTATAATTTTACATACGAAGAGATACACACCTGTTTTCGTAGGTACTAAAAACAAATAGAAAGAGGAACATTTTACGTCCACCACATCCCACACTTTTTTAATATAGCACACGAGGGGTAAGAGATAAAGGTAAAAATAACATAGATGTTACGCCATTATTTCCTTTAGACAAATAAACCGTATTCCTTGAGGATAATATTGTGGGGAATTTTACTGACTGAATGGCTAAAATTCTGAATTTTCTTCCCAAATTATTAGTCGTAGATAAGAATATGAAATGTTGTAATCTTGTAGAAAATTTAATTTTCTAATTGAATAGGTACATTAAAAAGAAGTGTCGAACTGAACTAGATTTATTTTATTACAATAAAAGAAAAGAAGGCGTTTTTAAATTAAATGTTAAATTTTTAATGAGTGCTCGACATATGTTTTGGGTTATATGGTAATTAATCCTTTTTCTGACTAAGGAATTACTCTTGAATTTTCTCAACCACTCTATCATAAAATTTTGCTTTTGTCTAAAAACTGCTCTAAACAGTGATGAGCAAAGAAAGACGAACACTGTCCCAGTCCTAAAAAGTACTAAAGTACCAAAAATGTGTTGTTTCCAGAAAAGAATATATTAAAGTTGTTCCCAATAGTTTAACTCATAAATCCATGAGAAGTAATAATTTTTAGTTAAGTCTTGTATATTCTGTCTTGGTTTTATTCTTGGTCGTGTTCGTTCGGTCTTGGTCTGGTATAAAAACAGTCTTGGACCTGCATTTAAATAACTTCTTTTGACAAGATAACATGCAGCTATTAAAACTCTTAACAGAAACAAAAAGCGTGTTGATATCTTCAGCAAGCGAAAACAATGGAAATTCTAAAGAAAAATGAGTCCTATTAGGCAAAAATGTAACTTCGATAGTGTTATTTTAATGCTCCTAGTCGACAATTTTCTTATCTAGTAAAACTGAAATAGATGAAGTTTTGTTCACTTTAATGTCCCAGTTGTGACAAGTTTTATTAAATGCTTACATTGAAGTAAAATTTACAGCAGGTATTCAATTTTCGACAATTCCGTTTTATAATTTAATTTCATGTTCTCGTTTTAATACGAGACACTAAAACCATTTCTTGAAAAGTAATTTCAAAATGGAAGAAGACGAAACTAAAAACTATCTGTATTTCAAACAGCAATTTGTAGCTAGATAGGTAATTCAGGATCATCAAATATGACAAACACAAAAAGAAAATTTCAATTCCAACATAATACAATAAAAAGGGTTACTGTTTTTCACATTGACAATGCTTAAAAGACCTGTCTTTCTTTGTTAATTCATTATTATTATTAAAACTTAACATCATCATATGGTCGTCAGTCTTAAGACTGGTTGGACACGCACTTCCACTCTTTTCTACCCCTAGGATTAGAACATCCCATATCCTGAACTATTTGTGAACAATAATCTAATATTGGTCTACCTCCACCCTTCTTCACTCCTGTTTCGATGGATAGTTTAAAAGGTAGTACATCCCTGTCTGCTCCCCTTCCTAATATTTACTTATACTTCTCTACGTTGCTGCTGAAACTCTACAACTGTTTGTTGCTCTATATACAAACTAAGTATCACTCTTCTATCTCTGCATCTCATCCCTACATTTTTAATGTTGTTTAAAAAACGCTAAATGAAATTGAATTTTGTTCATTTTACGAATTATAAAAGGGAGTGTTTTGCCGGAAACAAAGTTAGCGAAATGTTATTTTTGGAACAAAAGTCCCTTCAGCGGAACGTTATCACCCGCTTTATTAAACCCGTTTAAGTACGATTTGCGACCGATTCGGTGAATTTAAATCTCGCAAGAGAATTATCTAGTCTTAAACGGATTTACCAAATTAATGCTCAAAATCACCACTTTATTTCGAAACAAATATATCAATGTATATTAAGGAGTTTAAAACAACCTAAACGTACTTTCAAAAACGGAATATTAAAAGTTAGAAATGTGCCTACAGTAAGTAATAGTATTTTAAACTCAAGCAGAAATATAGAGTCAATTTGTGTGTCTCAAAATAAAATCTATAAAAATTCAGGTACCTACTTCAACAGTACTGAATAGATCATGGAAAGCCCTTACGTCGTTTTTTTTTTAATTATCATAACAAATCTTGTTCTAAATTCTTTTTTATGACAAAGAGAACTTGGTCCCTTTCTTAGAGTTAGTTACCTACATTTTTAGTAGGATCGAATTATCATATTAAAATTTTATATGAGTACGTATAAATAATTTTGATTTACTTTGATTTCTAGAGTTATTTATAATTAATATCAGTTTCCCAACAAAGATAAAATACTGCTGGTGTTTTTCTTTCAGGATTGAATCAATGGCGCAGCAACGGGGAAGTGAGTTAGCAGGTTCTAATCCCTTTTGCATAATTAAGAAAAGCTTTTTTTAAAAAATAGATTATTCATTTATTAATTACTTTTTAATAATTAACGCTGTATACCGTAAATGAAAGTATTCCAAGTCTGAGCATATTCAATATGCTTTTTTTTTTACTTTTACCCCTTAGTGAAAATCCTGGCTACGCCACTAGATTGAATCAAATATTTTTGCTGCAGGGTCCCTCATATTTTACCAGTACAGGGTTCAAGGGTTATTATAAGTATTACTAAATATTGGTTGTTCTTAAGACTTACCATGTTGAAGTCCCAGACGTCTGAGAAGCCTCTTCTTATGCACAGTGACTAATAGTATTTCCTAGGGACGTCCCATAGTTCGAAATAATTTGCATTAGTCGATTGCTATTTGTACCTAGATGGTCCCAAGGCAGAGCACCCCAACAATTGTAGACACGCGAGAGCAATCACTAGTACCACAAAAAGCACCGCGACCGAATACACTATAAACAGGTGCACCAAGGAAAAAACATACAAAGTACGATGGCACCACTTGTTCGGTTCGAAAAGCGTAGGGGCGTAATCAGGCCACTTGATCCGCAGGATCCAGTAATTACCCAAACCAAACCATCCTATAAGGAAGAGGGTGAGACAGACGGACGCAACTTTGGCCCCGACCACTGTAGCGTCCATGGAATTGACTTCGACGCGACGGTTTCGGAGCTGACTCCAAAGGAGCCAAGCCATCTTCACGCACCCCACACTACCGCCCACCACCATGTATACGGGGATGTGCGGCTCTCGGGGACAATCGCGCAAAAATTGAACACCTGCACCAAAAACCACGAATAATGCAATAACATTTTAAATTTATTATTCTCGGTATAGTTGAGACGTTAAAAATTGGCATAGTCCACAATAAAACTGTCGCATTTAATTTCTTCTTTCAACTTATTAATCAGACTAGAGCAGTTGCCAAGAGAACGCCCTCTTTTAGTCATGACAGACGTTGTAGGGGATATCGTAAACATAGAAAAGAGATGCCAGGTAAGAATTGCAGCGAGCACTAATAAAGAAAAAGGAATAACATTACATCAATTGATGTATAACAGAAAGAGATGCAAACAGAATTTCAGCGTGTTGTCAGCGTCAAACATTAAAGAAAGTTCTGTATTCTCAGAAATTTAGAAAAGGAAAGCATGAAGCATTTCCTAATTTAACAAGGGCGTGCTCAAAACGCAGCAAATGCTACAGTCCCGAGTGGAAACAAGAAAAAAGATACGTCCATTCTCACATATAATTTATTGGGGACTTTGCCAATTTTGTTCATCCCGACTATATCAATGCTTACCCATTATTAACATTAGAAGTGGAAGAGTTGATAAGCAGACCAAAACAACGGTGACTATAACTGAAACAAAAAGATGTCTCTAACAGACAGACAGAGGGACAGATACTGTAAAATAAGAAGGAATCCGTCAGTTAATCAACAGTTTTGAAATTTTGGAATGACTTGAACAAGAACCTTCAGGAGAATTTTGTTACATTTTAAATTACAATTTTTGGCAACACAACTAAGGGGTAGTCAATTCTGAGCTACCCCTTGTTGCTGAAATTTGCCCCAGATTATCGACATTTTTAAACAGGTTTTTATTAAAATCTGAATGGTGAATTAATGCTGTCCTGAACCCGAAATCTTTTACCAATTTGTCTAAATAATAAATTTCAACACGTTGGAGTATTATTAGAACCACATTAGAATTTAGCAACAAAAGATATGATGAAGATGAGTACCCACTCTCTTGATTGTTTTATTGTTTCTTCACGTACTTATTACTGTACTCAAAGAAGGTCAAATATTGAACTTTTTGATTTTTGAAGTTGATTTATTAGAATCCTGAAGTAGTGTTAAAATAATTCTAAAACTAAGTCCAGAATAACAAATGTATATGATCAAGTTGATGTTGTGAAGGTAAACATCAGGCTCGAATTCGAATATTTTTTTCCTTTTTTGAGGGTTGTTCGTCATTGTCAGGAGATATTTGCTGTTCTTTCCTTCGGATAATCAGCATACATATCTAACTGTGCGACTGTAATTTTTCAAACACTTCAAACTCAGAAATGCCTGCCGTGTGATGTTAAAATTTTTTTATGCTGTGAGTAATGAATCTGTCCAAAGGCAAACGTTAATATTAAGGCCAAATGGATTTATTACGTTTTTTGTAGAGTAAATGGAAAAAGGTTTTTATTTTGTTTCAAGCAATTCTTTTCTTTTATTTCGGTAATTCCTTCCATCTGTTTGGCATACTCGGCTTTATTGCAACTTCTATACAGAACATCTACCGAAAATTGCTTTCAATTTAATAAGGCCTTTAAAGTCCCGCTAAAAGAATCGTTATTTTTAATAGGTAGTTTTTTGCGCTGCTCTCTTTATCGACACTAAAAACACTCACTAGAATGAGTTTTGAAGTTTATCTAGGTACTTCGTGAGTTCATGATGTGCCCTGTTATTTTAAGGGACTGCTAAATATTCATACGCACTTTTTCGGCAAGTATGACAAACATCTTGCGTCTCGCCCATGGATCTGTTGCAAGGTAATAGAAACCGGGTGCACATTACAGATGCAAAATCGTTATGCATAATCCTCTTTGTTAGCAAGCCGTGTAATTTTGCGGTGCCGAGAACAACTTCATTGCATAAATTTTGCAAATGCAAAATCAGAATTTACAACAGACTCGCAAACTATCTCGGAATACTTTAAAAGCTTTATTAAAGCACCTAACTTAATAATTCCGAAAGTTCAAGAAGAAGTTAATGTTCATTTTAAAAAGAATGTTACCGCCAGAAATTCAACTAACTACAGTCCATTTCAATTTGTTAGAATTGTGACCTTGAAGAAGTCTGCGCGAAGATAGAGAGAATACACACTAGGCGTGAGCAAGACAGAAATAGTTGGGACAAGCTTGAACGAGCAGAGCTCTCGATCGGCAGTCTTAGGAGATCGGCTAGAACTGTACAGTACTAGACGAAAATGTTTAGCAATTTCTTAAAACAAAAATGTATTTAAATTAACAATAGAAAACCAAGCAAAAGTTTTATAGGTGTGTAGAACGTTAAGTTAATTCACTTTTTATTATTTTTGGCTAAATATGCTTTTAAATAATGAATATTCTTAATTTTTAACGAGGCAGTTTAAATAATTTTGCAAATGGTACTGTACACTTTTGTCTAGTTCTCGCTCGATGATCGGTGAAGAAATAAGCTCCACAGACAAATGTGATTGAATTTGGAATTAAGCTACGGTGCATCCTAATAAAGGGAAGGGGCATATCTCTAACTTCTTGAAACGAACTTTACGTCACTTTATTTTATCTAAACCGCCCGTGCAGCATCGTCTTCGGCGGACTTGCAAAATAGCACATATTTTTAACAAACGGTAATGGTCCAGTGGTATCGATGATCGGCTGTCAGGCAAGCGGGCCCGGTTTCTATACTAGGTCGATGCTATAGCTTTTTTTTTTCTATATTCATATGACGCTTGTTTAATTAATCACATGTGGTACGTGTTACCAAATGCCCCGCACTCTTTTTCAATTAACATGGAATACTGAGACCATTAGTTTGATATTATACATATATATATATATGGTACATGTAAATTCGGCCTACGCAATGCATAGTTATTTCGTTTTAATGATGACAATATTTTTAATTTTTTGGATCGTAATCGCTTCAATTGTATCATGAAAACCCATTTGAAAGAACATGCTTAATGGAGTTTGTTGATTGAATTTCAGCTACACAGCGTTAAATAAATTCTAATTTAATTTTCACCGGATAGTTCATTAATTTTGTTTACAATCCTCTTCCATGGACGTATCCTTGTTTAACGAATGAAAAATATCACAATTAACTCTGCAAATACGTGTATAGAAAAAAAATCTAAACATCGCATTAAAAAAATGTTGGATTGGGATAAATAATGGGTGAAAGTCAAATTTTTTCGAAAACACCGATCGAAAGCAGTGAAACATAAATCTTGTCGCAAAAGCGCTGCCAAAACTAAAGTTTTTTCTTGTAAAATGACTTTTTTTGCTATCAAATTCTAATACGGCCCCAAGCACTTGACCTCTCTACCTTCTCAATGAAGCCACCACGTCATAAATCAACGTGATGGTTTAATATATCAACTTCAACGAGTTAGGTACGAACTTCTACTCGTTTACGAAGTTCAGTCCTTTATATACACATAAAAAAAAGAAGACTGATAACCAATCTGCTTGTGAAGATATCAAAGTTTTCTCTGAATTTTTACCGAGGCACAACAACAAAGATATTATATAAGGCAAACGAACATGGATTTTATACGAGGTATGTTCAAAAAGTACCGCGAATTTGGGTTTATTCAAGAATTATTTATTTATTCATGAATATCTATTTTGTCCCTTTCAAAGTAATCCCTAGCACATATGAGAGACATGAGTACCAACATAACGCCACAAAAAATCGAAAATCGAATATACGTAACTCGCGGAAATTCAAAATTCGCGATAGTTTTTGATCAACCCTCGTACTTGCAATACAAAAAGTTTCAACAGAAGAAATGTTATTATAAAGAGTGCTACAAAGAAATAATTGAAATGGGACCTACATGATTCTTTAAAAAATATTTTGGGACGTAATCTAATGACATTATGATTTTCCGAGAAATTCAGTCAAGTCGATGTTCATCCCAAAATGAATTTTATAGGAGAAAATGTAAGAGATTAGTCTTTGTACGTTGTACCAAGTATGCTAAATGAGGAAACGATAAACAGTTTGCTGTTTTTTGTGTTAAATCTTCCAAAAACGATTCTTTTGTTATACAAGACAACGCTAGTGCAGTTTGGCCATTCCCAATTGTAAATTCTTATATATTTTGAACGCCACATTAAGCCGCAAAGATACGATGATTGCACGTGTCGGTTAAAACGAATCCGCACAATACATTGCTCCCAAAAGGGCCTTATCGCAGAGTTAAGAGATGAAAGCGCAAAAATATCTATCGAGCAAATGTGAAACAGAGACACGGAATAATTATTGCGTTGCATGAAACACTTTATAACGAACGTAATACAAAGCTTAAAAGGGAATTATAGAGTCTTCCGGTTAATGTAGACCGCTTGACGAAAATTTTGTGAGGGCTTCTTTATCTACTTTTCCCTCTGAAGTCTAAATTATTATCACAGACTTTATGAAACAAAAAATTAGCTTTCTATTTTTTTATTTTGAAACGAGAAGCTAATTCGAAATGTGACGCTATAGACAGATGATTAAAATACCATGGACAGGAAGAATTATGAATGAGGAGGTATTAAAAAAAATACGAAACCTAGGAGCGCTGTGGATTGAAATGATATGATGATGAGTAAAGGTTAGAAGTTATTGAGAACTGTAAAGTCATTAAGAATTTACATACATCATCGACGTAAACCTTACAAACCAATACAGAATTTGCTCGAGAATTTCAGGATGTTCGATAGTCGTATGTGCTGCAAACGTTCCAGCTCATTATGAAGCAGATACAATTTTTTTTATTTTGAAATGAGAAGCTAATTCGAGATGTGGCGTTATAGACAGATGATTAAAATACCATGGACAGGAAGAATTAGGAATGAGAAGGTATTAGAAAAAGTAAGAAAACAAGGAGCGCTATGAACTGAAATGCTATGATGATGAGGAACGGTTAGAAGTTATTGGGAACTGTAATATGATTAAGAATTTACATACATCATCGACGTAAACCTTACAAACCAATACAAAATTTACCCGAGAATTTCAGGATGTTCGATCGTCAAATGTGCTGCAAACGTTCCAGCTCATTATGAGGCAGATACATGTCGTGTGTCTTTAAAAAAATTTGTTGTGATTAAAATGACTTACCAGTGCGATTGACGATTGTAAGAGCCTTGCATACAAAGTCACAGGTGCCTGTGGCTTCCAGGTTGGCATCTTTAAGTTGGTAGGCTACGGAACCGTAGGTTGCCAAGGGAACGCTCAATCCGAGACCCTGTTCTTCACTTCCGCTATGTTTGTGTTGGCTTTCCGAGCTTCCGCACAGTCGACGATTCTCGTCCGATATCTGAAGCAATCCCGTCTGCAAATAAACAAAACAATAACGATAACATCGCGCCATCTCGTGATTTTAACCAGACGTGATGCAAATGCTCCATGTGAGCTAATAATTTAAACATCCCACGAAAAGAATTTCGTAATTTCCCAAATTTCAAACCACAAATTCTAACAATAACAATAGTCATCTAACACAGTCAAATATTGAAGAAATGAGATTTATTATTTACATAAAATCTTCGCCATGTTTTTGATTACTTTTCCTATGGGAAAAGCTTTCGCCAAAAACTAAATTCACTGTCGCCCTCTTCTTCGCTCATGAGTAATACGTTTGTCATTTTGGAGTTCCCTACGTCTCGAATGAGTTTAGAACAAGTCCCCTTCGTTCCAATTTTGTCGTTTTCAACATCTTCCTTGCCAGCAAAAAGGTTTATATCGTTTTTACACGGAAATAAATTTTTCCATTATAACTTCCTTCTTTGCGAATTTGCTTACGTTCCCGCTCGCTTTGCCCATAGCAAAAAGGTAACCAAATCATTCATATAATAGAGTTTTTAAAACACTTTTACCGTTCCATATCTTCCAGAGTTCTTTTTTCGAAATAAAAATCATTACCGTGTAGAATAAAATTGGAAAATTAATAATGAACCCAACATTTGAGAACTAAATTTGCCCTTTATATATGGATACGTTAATATAATAGGCCTCTTCACAGCGAAGGGTTACAAACTCTGGAGGACATTACGAACGAATTCTGACTAGAAATTTCACCCTAGCTACCCTTTCTTCCAAAGTAATACCGATAATATCCGAAAAAAATAAATTTCAAAGAAAATTAGGTGCTTACCGAACTACTGGCTCGCCTGGAACCGGCCTCAGAAAGGGCTGTGTTACTGCTGTACCCTTGGTGAATTGTAGTCCTAGACCCTGCTTTGTATGGAGAAGAGCGACCCCCAGATCTGCTTCCTGAAGCAAACCAAAAATTGGAGTCGTCACCTATTAATGTTTTACGGACAGAAACTACTCTTACCGCATGAATTATCAGCGCTGGCCCTACGATCACCGGGTGAAGGGTCTTGGAATGTCAGAGTCAAGCTTCTTCTTGGTGTTTTACTATTAGAATCGGTGATGTAATGGGAGACACTACCCCTTGCAATGCTGCCCCGGGGACTTTTGTTAATGTTAACTATTTCACCGCCACCAACGCTGCCTCTGGGACTTCTTTCACCCTGTATATAAAATGTAAGAATTTAAAAGAATTTGGCTATCCCACGACGTGCACTGTGATGCAGGAAGGCGTTCTTCAGACACCCTCAGGAATCAAGGAAACAAGTGGATAACTAGGGATAAGAAAGACATGCCCTTAAGAATTACAACGCAGAAACGCGCTCTGCTGCCACCCTAAGAATCCAAATAAATGGGTGATTAATTGTGGTTAGGAACAGAAAGACAATTCTATAAGATTTATATTGTAGAACGGGAAGGCGCTCGTCAGATATCGTTGGAAATCAAGGAAATAGTCGAATGACTGGGGCTAGGGACAGAAAGACAAGTTTGTAGGACTTACAATGTGGTACAGGAAGGCGCTCTTCGACCACCGCTAGGAATCAAGGAAATAGGTGGATGAATGCGATTAGGAACAGAAAAACAAGAACATATGACTTACGCTGGGGACCAAGAAGGTGCTCTTCAGCCACACTTGGAAATCAAGAAAACAAGTGGATGAATGCGGTTATGGGCAGAAAGACAATCTCTTAGGAATTACAGCGCTGAATGGCGCCCTTCAGCCACCCTTAGAAATTAAAGAAATTGGTGAATAATTGTAGTTAAGAACTGAAAGACCATTCTAAGAGACTTGCGCTCTTAAGACATCCTTGCGAATCAAATCAATAGTTGTATGACTGGGATTGGGGACAAAAAGACAAGTCTGTAATATTTACAATGTGGCGCAGGAAGACTGTCTTCTGTCGCCCTCAAGAATCAAGTAAATGGGTAGACGATTGTGGTTAGGGGCTGAATGACAAGGCTATAGATTAGTATAATTTGAATGAAGACGTATAACTTTGAACGGATTTATCTAGCGAATATAATGCAGATTTGTTAAGAGTTTAAGGATTAAATGATGCAGAAATTAGTCTTTTCAACTCGCCTGACGCTCTTTATATTTTAACGTTTTACTTTTAAAGAAAATTCTTAGCACCAGGTAAGATTTACTGCAACACTAAGTAGACGGCTATTCAAGTTTCAACTGCTTTGCATTTTGAAGTGTACCGGAATTCCCCGTCCCGAGTAATTCATGTCAGGCATGAAATGTATTACTGCTCTTCTAACAGTCCATCTTTCGAAACAAAAAAAGTTACTCGAGCTTCTCTGCCAGCTTTTAAAGTAATAATGGCACCTCTGCTACCTCTCCCTTTTTTATAAAATATGTAGGTACTAATAAATCAGCTGCATTTATATACGGTATCACGAAAAGCAAAAGAAAATGACAAAACACTAATAACTCAGAAAAAAACACCCCACGAAAGTTTTGAAGACATAGTGTATTAAAGTAATTAAGGAAGATCATACTTGATATTCTCCGGTGAAACTTCCTCTGGGACTGTTCCTGGATGGAGTACACGTTTCTGGGCCAATACTACCCCGTGGGCTTCTGTTAGGGCTTTTGTTGTTCCCATCTTCGTTGTTAGCGTTTAATTTTTGATGCCATGCAGTCGGTTCTGAAGGAGTTACCAACGATGTCCGAGAAACTCTCGTGTTGGGGTCAATCGTTAAATTTAGCTTGGACGACCTGTTAGACTCCGCACACAAATTCAGCCTTGAACTGGAAGAAAAATTACAAAAATATGTTGAAACAGAGAACCACGTTTTCTTGTAGCGTATCTTCTATCGTAGCAAGTTTGCTATAAAAGATGAAAAATACCTAAAATAATATTTCCAAATATATACTATTGGGTTGTTCGGAAAGTCATTTCGTTTTCTCCCGACAAAGGATTTAATTGTATTCTTTTGCACCCAACTTCACATTTAAGCCGTATAATTTTTATATGTTTTTGGTTGGTGCCCTTTTAAATATGGAGAGCGATAAGCAGCATTTTCGACATATCTTACTGTTTTACTACAGAAAGGGTAAAAATGCTGTTCAAACCAGAAAGAAATTGACTGATGTGTATGGAGAAGGTGTGTTGACAGTACGCCAGTGCCACAACTGGTTCGCTAAATTTCGATCCGGCAATTTTGATGTCGAAGATGCACTACGTTCGGGAAGGCCGGTTGAAGCTGATAAAGACGCGATAAAGGCATTAGTTGATGTGAACTGGCGAATAACAACACGTGAGATCGGATTGAGGTTAAATTTATCAAATTCAACAGTTTATGACCACTTGAAAGGCCTGGGATTATCCTCGAAGCTCGATGTATGGGTTCCCCATCTTCTCACAGAGAGAAATCTGTGTCGCCGCATTGACGTCTGCGATTCGCTTCTCAAACGTCACGAAAATGATCCGTTTTTGAAGCGCATCATCACTGGGGACGAAAAATGGGTTGTATACAACAACGTCAAACGCAAGAGGTCATGGAGCAAAAAAGATGAACCGGCTCAAACCAACTAATCAACAGGAAAGGTGTAGTGTTTCACCAAGACAACGCGAGACCTCACACAAGTTTGGTCACTCGCCAAAAGCTTTTACAGCTTGAATGGAATACAATGCTACACCCACCATATTCTCCAGACCTGGCACCATCGGATTATTATTTGTTCCGGTCACTTCAAAATTTTTTAGACGGTAAAACCTTAACCTCAAATGAGGAGGTCAAAAACCTCCTCGATCAGTTTTTTGCCAGCAAAGACCAAAAATTTTATGAGCGTGGAATTATGCTACTACCAGAAAGATGGCAAAAGGTGTTGGACCAGAACGGTCAATATATAATTTAATAAAGTATTTGTTTATTATACACCTATAACAACCCTATATTTAGTACTTAGTCGGAAACAAAAATTTGAGAACAACAAATCTAGCGATTTTTGACCTATTTTAGCGATTACTGATTGGAAAAATCATCTTGGGGGTAAGTTTTGAAGAGTTGGAATTATTTATTCTAGGTCGAAAATATCTGTTTCCACGGCAAAATTACGAATACATCTTGTAGATTTCGCCGACATAGCGACCGAAGATGTAGATACTAGAAACTTTATTGAAAAAGTTTGTCGAAGATGTATCAACTCACCGACTACACAAAGTTACACAGATGCAAACAACATCTCATACATTTCAAATAAAATGAAATACTGCACGGAAATATAACTTTCTTTTCCTAGAAATTCGATGAATCCGAAACAGAGTACGTAACCTATTTTTCAAGTTCGTCATTTGGTTTAATTAAAAATTAGTGAGTCCACTTTAAAATGAGTAAATACTAATTACAAAAGACAATAATATCACTTTTAACATTGCAAAAGTTTCTTTTCGGGAGGTACTCGAACAACTGAAAGAACAGAAGACGCTTTGAAAGTCAGTAAGAAATAGGAGATGAGGATAGATTAGAGACAGAGGAATATTTAGACTAGATATGGGATATTTTACCTTTTGGGAATGGAAATATCGTATGCCCAAGAGTCTTTAAACTAAAAACCTTCTGATAATAACAAGATTTCTTTAAACATTGGTAATGAGAAATCCAACAGTTTCTATGACAATTAAGTTCAAATCGGTTAACAGTTAATGGAGTCTATTGTATACACCATTTTTACTTATATATGTTAATGAGTTTTGGACTAGTTCTTTGTTATGAATTGTACAAGAAAATAGGTTGCCTAATTTAGTCCACATGGGATACTTGAAGTACTGCTGAAAGAGTTTTTAAGGCAATTTAATCTTCTCGCTGTACAGAAGGCTTGAATTGACGCGTTTGCAACATTAAGTACAAATTCTCTAGCTCTTATCTTGCTGATGTACCTACTTCTAACAACTGTGTTGCTCTAGATTCCTACATTTTAACGCTCAAACGTAGTTGAACAAACTTAACAATGGCTGTTTCTATACAATTTAAACATTCCAAACTAAATTTTACGAAAACCTGCTGTTTGAGATACTGAAAGTCTTATATTACACAATTCGAAAGTTCAAATTGAAAAAACTACATCAATGGGTCTACTTTAAATTAATAAAAAATGGATTTCAATTTTTTTATTCGAAGTATATTTAAAAAGGGAAATAATTTTGACGACTACGGTAAAAACGAGATCAAAGTTATTTCGACATTCCCAGAAATTGATATTCTCAAACTTTCAAGAGTAATCCGGAAGGATTTTGAGGAAAAGTTTCTCCGTAACAACATAAAACAGTATATTACCTCTGCTTTGACCCCATTTAAAAGATTTATCACCAACTGAAACCCAATGTTACTCTTTTCTACCTCTACACACCTGCATCAATCTTTTCGTGTCAGTAATAACCTTATTTTCATTCTACATATGAATCATTTTTACTTAACAACACTGCACTTGCGCACTTTTCTGTAACATACTGTGTAATTATTGACATGTTAAGTTTACGTCATCCATAAAGTCTATACGAATCAATCCACAAAAGTAGAACAACATACTGAACTCATGTGTAATATTCAGTAGAAAATACAATGTAAATTACTACGTACTAGAATGGCAGGATGTTAGAGGTAATTTAGAATGAGATGAACCTTCGCTTGAGGTTGCGCAGTTATTGGTCATCACCTTTTGTAGTCTATCTGGAACTCCATATCACGTTGTACATAGAGACAATGGTTAGAATCAATAGAATAACAGCTCGGCTAATGTGCCCCCCTTCTCACGCATCTGAAGTGCATGTCATTCGAAACTACCTATACATCTTTTTAAGTGTAAGTACTTAAAGTTATCGTAAATGATTAAACTGATTACTACCTACTTATTTATATATATATATATATAGAATCATTATTTATGCCTGATTGATCGCATGTGATATTAGTTTTGATTTCATGTTTGTTGTCGCGTGTGTGGCATAAAATGTTTTAAACTGATTTTGATTTCCAACCGAGCAGTTGACAATATCCACGATATTTATCAGAAAGAGAAACGCTTTTCGTCCGAACAGATCAATAAAATGCTTGGTAGGTACACTTGATCATTGCCGGTTAACAAAAGTTACGCATAGGACCAAATAACACAACAGGATAGTTAAATTTGCATACTGTTATTAGTTGAACAGGTCTGGCATGATAATTTAGGAAAAACATTAAAAGATCAAAGATATTATGACGAAAGAAAGCATAAAAAATTAAGCGATCTTCTCAGATATACCATTCAATATTCACGGCTGCAGATTTTGATAATTTAATCTCATAAATTAACAACAGTGAAATATCTCTGCGAAGTTGAATAAATTTCCATATCCCCCGGCTTAATTTATATAGGCTTAAATTGATTCTTAATTGACCGATATTAATTTCAGGGCCCGCTGAACCGACAAGGGGACCCACAAATTGCCCTTAGTTATGTGTAGGTATCTAAAGCATCGCTTTGAATTTATTAGTTTGAAAAGCCAAACTGTTTGTCCATTGTAATTTACGACACTTGAATCAAAATAGGACACTTCTTGAATATATTCGAATACCTAACGAAAGATTTTTGTACCTTCTTTAAATATGAGGAAACTTTCCAATACCACGACACAAGCTATCGACATACGAGGGTCGATTGATAAGTTTCCGGCCTAACCAAGAGATGACGCCACTAGGCCTACCTTGAGGTGACATTCTATAGTACCATCCTTGGATAGCTTGTAGCTATAGTTTCAGCCCGATCTCCTTGCTAGTGTAGGTTTGACAGCACGCTGAACAAGACGCCTCTGTGGTTTTCGTAAAAATGGAAAAGCAGGAAAATCGTGCTGTCATCAAATACTTTTATTTGAAGGGGTTAACGCCGAAGGAAATTAAAAAAGAGATGGACTCAACACTGGGGACATCCTCCCCGTCATATTCAACCGTTAAGCAGTGGGTTTCCGAGTTTAAAAAGGGTCGTGTGAGCACCTCTGATGGGCCTCGCTCAGGACGCCCCGTTGAGGTCACAACTCCAGATATGATCGAAAAAATTCATCAAATAGTGCTGGGAGACCGCAGATTGAAAGTGCGTGAGATAGCTGAGACCTGTAAGATGTCATATGAACGTGTGCAACATATTTTGCACCAACATTTGCATATGGAAAAGCTCTGTGCAAGATGGGTGCCGCGTTTGCTAACAGTCGACCAAAAATTGATTCGAAAAAACATTTCTACCGCAAATTTGTCATTGTATAAGCGTAATCCAAGCGAATTTTTGCGTCGATTCGTAACCGTTGACGAAACGTGGGTCCACCACTACACTCCTGAAACCAAAGAACAGTCTAAACAGTGGATTGGACCAGGGGAACCAACTCCAAAGAAGGCAAAAACAATTTTTTCGGCGAACAAGGTTATGGCTACTGTTTTTTGGGATGCAAGAGGTATTATATACATTGATTACCTTGCAAAGGGTAATACTATCACTGGTCAATACTACGCAGACTTATTGCAACGTTTGAGCCACGAGGTGAAAATTAAACGACCTCATCTGGCGAAGAAAAAATCTTGTTTCATCACGATAACGCACCAGCGCACACGTCAATCGTTGCGACGGCTAAAATCAACGATCTAAAGTTTGAATTGATGCCGCACCCTCCTTACTCTCCAGACCTAGCCCCGAGTGACTATTTTCTGTTCCCTAATCTCAAAAAATGGCTTGGCGGTAAGAGATTTGCGGACAATGAAGAAGTAATCGAAGCTGTAAATGGTTATTTTGAGGAGCTTGACGAATCAGTCTATAGACTGGAACACCGCTATGAGAAATGTATCAGCCTTGGAGGAGATTATGTTGAGAAATAAAAAAAAAAAATTTTTAAAAACCTTGTTTTTCTTGGTCAGGCCGGAAACTTATCAATCCACCCTCGTAAGTCATTTGCACCAACATGACATCAAACAGAAGGCATTAGAACCTTAAAAAAAGTACAAAGAGACATTGGACTCCTTGGAAATGGATAATCTAAAATATTGGATCGATATTGTTTTCTCGGTTCAAGTCATGGCCCATGGAATTTTGATGTTCCAAATTGATATCAGCACCTGCCAAATCGCCACTTATCATATATTTAGCAAGGAACTACGAAATTCTATGAATTACTACAAAACAGCCCGCAAAACAATATCGAATTATTATAAGCCAGCTGTGTAAAATTGAAAACTACAAGATATAATGGTGTGCTAATGATTCGAAAAATTTTACTTATTAGATGAATCCAAAGCTAGAGAAACTATGGATTCCATTTCTTTCTCTTAATACAAGCTATAAAATAACAGGAACAAAATGCGGTTGTAAATATTTTGATATAAAATTATTGGTGTTGATTTTACATCAATCAAATTATTTTCAACCCTATTTTGGCTCTGATCTTTCACGCTGAAAATTGTGTAAAGCCCTTTATTATATTCTGAATTCTGATTGATTAAATGTTTGCCCTTAGGCTTATCTATAAATTATTAATGGACGTTACAACGTAAATGAAATAAAAGACAGGGAAAGAAAGTTGTGAAATGTATTCGTAATTCCTGGAAATTTAATATTTAAGGAAAAATTAAAGCTGTAACAATTTCGGTTATTAATATTGAATTTTAAACGACTTTTTTTAAATCTTCTACAAGTTGATGAAACAGTAAAAAGAAAAGTATGAAACTTAGTTATGTACCATTCCTTATTAATACTGCAAATAATATTTCCTTTCCTTCACAAATATAACTGAGGATTCTTTTATTTTAATTAAAATGTGTTTCTCTTTTTATAGCTAGGCTTCACCGAAATAAAGTAAAGATACAACGAATTTAATTTTCTCCAGGGAAAATTAGCTTTCGGTTTCTTTTTATACTGTTTTTTGCAGTGGACCTTGCTTTTTCAATTACATCAAATTACATCCCGGGGTTTTTGTTCTATTTCCAATTTTCTGGGATAAGCATCATACGACCACATCAATCCCAGGAATTCTTCTTTTTTGTAATTTAACTTTTGGCGAGTAAAGAATTTAAATATAACTTTGTTATAATCACTCCCGACAACCTCATCGTCAAGTTTGTACAGTTCCATCAAGCGAACAACAATTTTTAAGTTTAGTAGCAAATAGATAATCAATATGTATAGATTAACACTTTCAAACCCTGTTCCCTTTTCGTTACAACCACTAAGTGGTTTCCTTTTCAGACAATTCACTCAAGCATGCTCGAAATTTACTAATTCCATCAAATGACGATTCCTTTCTTTCCTTTCCCGGGGCGAGACATTTGACGCGGTACCTTTCTCTTATCTTACAATATATTTTCTATTGGTGGTACATATTCTTCCAGCAAAATATTAGGATAACCAGAAAAAGAATGATATATCAAACATAAGAATAACTAAATGAAGAAGACTACCAACATTGGCTTCTTCCTATCTCCTCGAAAACTAAAGCAATCTACATGTGTAAATTTGAGAACAGTAATCTACTCCAGGTCTACCCCTCATATTCCTATTTCTGCTTATAATGCATCTCTAACTACCTTCTCGTACCAACCTATCTCACCTGTTTGTTATCGACTTCCATAAGACCATTTGGTCTCCTATATCTTTTCTAATACTCCCTCATTTCTATCATTTACAACTTCTCGAGAAATTTGCATCATTTTCTGTTTTTCGACTGATTTGTTGGGTTGTCTTAAATTATTTTTTTACCCTAATTAGGACCTACTTCTCCCAATCCCTTATTAGTGATTAGCCATGAGTAACATTAACTCCACTTTTGGATTAAAAATTGTACAAAAACGCCGAAAGTTTTAAATATGTAGTAAAGTTTTGCAAAATTTCATCCAACAACGGTATTAACAAATAAAAATGCCAAAATTTGCCTTGCAACAGTGCAACATTCTTCAAGAAGTAACTAACGATTAACACGTTTAATCAAAAGCCAGAAAGATTAGGTACTTACCCTGTACATCCATTAGTATCTGGAACTAAACTGTTTCGAGCGCTTCTACTGCCTTCAGGCACTAGACTGTACCTATAATTCCTGTTATAATTGTCAGGCACTAGACTATTTCGCGCACTAAGACAAGTGTCCGGCACTAAACTACCCCTAGGGCTCCTGCTGTACACTTCATTAGGAACGAGACTGTGTCTAGGACTTCGCGAAAGTAATTGTTCGTTCACTAAACTGTTTCGAGGACTTAACGCTGATTCTGGCACCAAACTGTTCCTGGGACTTAGAGCGGATTCGGGGACTAGGCTGTTTCGCGGACTTGCAGCACAGTCAGGTACCAAACTATTCCTAGGGCTTAATGCTGATTCGGGAACTAGACTGTGACGCGGACTTTTGGAAGCGTATCCCATAACAGGCTCGGATGCGTCTAGAGAAATATTGGGGACTATGCTGGGACGTGGACTGTTGCTGGTGTTGTGCGGGACAAAAATGCGTCCGACATCGCTATCCACAGGGGACACAGCAATGCTTGCTCTGCGACCTGGACTTGTCCCCGCCGAACGCGCTGGTCGTGTTTGGGGAGACGATGCCGCACTCCTTGATGCCCTTCTACGTCTGGACGATGAACTTCGATGAAGCATTTCTTTCAGTCAGTTGTTAGTACATTTCTCTGAAACTACAAACAAATGATAAAGTAAATACACCCCGGGATGGACCAATTTAATAAATTACCGCTTCTGTGGGTAACTGTGTACAAGTTTAGAACGTTAGTAAACGAGAAATGTCAATTTAGATATGAGCCCTTAAAATATTAGCTTTCTGATCCGTGGACGTACTACTACCTGAAAATATAGTTTTATTTATTGTCCTAAACAAACATCGTCATACAAAAAGAATACTGAGAAGGAGTACAGAAGAAGCCCTATAGAAACAACTTACGAATCTAACTTACGATCTTGTTCTTGTTATTAAACAACTTATATTATTATCGAACTTGTTTGAAATCAAATTAAGAGCGACATAGCTTCAGATTAAATGTAAGATTCATGTAGATATGTGAAAATAGGCTATTATTAGTTCTGTCGCCTCAAATGGATTTAGAAGTGAGTTATCAAAAGTTAGAGCGTTGATTAGTGTCATATCCAATTCGACAACACATTCGCACTGGATAACAACGTTTTGGGATTACTAATTACAATTTCGTACGTGAACGATATCTCTCCATTAATTGAATTAGAATCAGTTTGAGTCGGCCGCAGATGCAAATAATGCTTCCATTCGGGCGAATCCATTAAGAAAGTGACTAATGGATATTTCCCAATGTTACTTGTAATTAAGAGCTTTAATATTAGGCATTAGCCAAACAATTTTCATAAAACGTTGAAGGAAGAAAGCATTCGTCTTTTCAAGACAAACTTTTTTGCATTATGAAAACCTTGTCTTACAAATTTGACATTTTCGGGATATTTTTTTAAAAATTTGATGCGATCTATCGACACCTATACAATCAAAAGTACTACTTTCTTTATTAAGCCTTCTCGATTCGTACAGANAGATTGTTTTGTTATGACAGGGTAGGATTTAGAAGAATTTGAGCGAACGAAGTCAGAAGTTATTCCTTTTTACAATGAATTTCCACCTAGTACAAAGTAAATCGTATTGAACTCCACTTAATATAGCATTGTGTTACAGATGGCGTTTACCGCACAGTTTGTAGGATTTTATAATCTTATTCAGCTATTATATAAAATCTTTTACTTTAAATAAAATACATACATTTGAAAATTAAATCTGATAGTTGGTACATTGGAATGTAATTGTGTAAGTGGCCCCTTCGCTTCTAAACGTGTCTCATTTGTTAGACATGTCCGTCCAATTACGAAATGCCAATTCAACCCTTAGAACAAAGCCTAACACAGACTCTTCTCCCATGTACAGATTGCAACCGAACTGGTCCTCATAAATATGGAAATCAATATTATCTGATCAGGGTTGTCTGAATTTATTCGGCCCTCTCAGTCACCACAGTTACTATCATGTTTGGAATCATATTCAACTCCAATATGTCCCTTATCATCACGACAAACACACGATAAACGACACACACATATATATATATATATTGGCATACTATAACACCCGAAGTTATGTATACATATGGTGTTACTAGAATCCTTGGGATTATTCCGCAGTTCTTACTCGTATTAGATTGAAATTTCATAAAATCTAAGTCACAATTCAGTTTTAGTTAATCTACTCAATGTTGAACAGGAATTTAAATCTCAGGTGTAGTTGGAGACTTATATGAAGCAGAGAAGGAAGTAAGAAAAGATTGTGGAAGACTTATCCTACTAAGATTATTGTTCACAAATAGTTAAGGATCTGGTATGCTCCACTTTTCGAGAGATCCGAATATTGATTGAAGACAGAAACTAGTAGAGCAGCTTGTTCATCCATTCCTAAGAGTGACAAACTTATGATGATGACGACCAGTAGTAGATACGATATTATATTCTTGAAGATGTCCAAACAAGACAAAACGTACATAGAACTTTTCAATAAATTGTGAATCAATTATAGAATGTTTAACTTAGTCCTTTGGTGTAAGTTTTAGAAATTTGATGTTTTATTGCTTCCAAAATTCATTTGTAAAACTGTTTGTGGTTAAGGGTTAAAGGGCCGTTGGCGAATGTGAACTTTTACATCAAACTGAAATGTTGTACGTACGTCTCGTCGAACTTTACCACAAATATTGCAGAAACTTGAGCTGAACCTTCGTTTCCTCGAGACCCAATAACGTGGTGATTTCGCTTTTTTCCAATTTAATACAGTTGAAATGTCAAGTAAAGTTACAGAAATTTTAATTAAGAATTCGAAACGAAAAAAATTACGCACATGTTTTCTACCAACGGTTCATTGAAAAGCAATAAATAAAGCGAAATGTTACGTGAAATTGTAGAATGTACAAAATATTAGAGAATCAAAAATGGCGTTACGTATTAGCCATTTTTGTGGCTATTATTATCAAGAAAAGCACCACTCATGCTTACATTTTTGAACACAAAGCCTTTATTAAGCAGTTTGACTGCGATGCGGAACAATTTTTGTTAAATCATTTCGTAACATTTGAACTGCAGTTTTTTGTTCTCATTCACCAGTTAATAATTAAAACATTTTTCGTTCATTGCTACCACAAGAATAACGTTTTTGGATAAAAACGTACCTAACTCTAAAAAATGCACATTCTCGTCAAACAGTTGTATTACGTATTACCTTTCATACCCCAATTCACCGACATGTTATTGTTTCAACGTCAATTCCACCGGGAGTTAAATTTTTATAAGGGCAAATTTCATATTTTTTCCGCTACCTGATGCAGCTTGACGAGATAGAAAAATACGAAAAAAAAAAAAGAAGACACGGGTGTCAACCAGTCCACGATCGATCTCGTAACCTTGTTTCTAGACAGCACAACGCATTTCCATAAACAATGACTAATTTGTTCGTTATCATCAATGTTTATTGAAAAAAGATAGGCGTACGTACTACCATACATGGCTTCCAAGTTGTGATTCGAGGTCCGCTGCGCTATAAGCAGTGCGCATCTGATTCAACGCGTAGGTCAGGAAATTTTGTATTTAACAATCGCGAAATTGATGCGCAGTCGCTCACCGCGCAGTGGACCATCACGATTTTTAACCTTTATTATTAGTAATGATACTTTTTAGACGCTTCGGATCAAATTGTTGCTCCTTAACAAAAGTATGATATCTAATACGGCAACCCATTTTTATTTATATAGTTATTCACATGATTCAGGATTTGAATGGCATCATAACCTTTTATTAGTCGTCGAATGTTTGTTTCGTTTTTCCTGTTTACCCGAGTATTTTTGCAGGTGTATGCATAAATAATTTCGGAATGAAATAATGCGATTACATGAAAGCCATGAAACTTTTAAGCAAGCCATACCAATCTCTCTTCCGTGAATAGATTAATGTAGCACGCGAGATAGCGTTCCTTATTATGCATGTTCCATTGTCACGAAAGAAAACTGATTATGTGCAAAACAAAACGCTGCTAACAGCTTTAAATATTGAACGGATTTTCGGAAGAGGTGGCGGGATCGAAGAAGATTGTTTTGATTAAACTTTTCCAGTGACTTTCGTTTTAATTTGAAAACTTAATTTATTTGCGGTATCTCTTCAGCAATAACAAAGGCAAAACAGATTAAGTTTGATGATAAATTAACTGACAAATTCAATGAGAAGCAATTTATTTTTTGCTGGCTCCGTCATAAGCTGCTGTCTTTCGGAGTTATTTCGACTATCAGGTGGCGGTACAGTTATTTAATTTACTTCTACCCCGAAACCGCCAATTAATAGAAACATCAATTACACCTGTCTAAACCAATCCAGAACAGCGACATTCCGGCTTAAAATATTTCAAAATTGTTTTCATTAACAGCCAGTAACTAAGCGTCAATATTCATCTTACATAACATCAACACAATGTTTCTATGATGGCGCATAATCTAAATATAACACTTTATTACAAGTATATAATTCGAGATAACAATTTTTTTTAACTAAAACTCTTGCATATCGAAATTAACCCAATGAGTCATTTCCAATTTCTAGTTAGAAGTTTTAGGAGTCAGCTAGTGTCAAAATACTGTATTATGAGTGGAGATAGCGACACCGATTGTGCTTACAGGGTTGGCAAATACTCTATTATACAGTAGTGGTGAGTTGATAACCAAACATAGAATATTCATCAAAGAGCAGCATGTTTTCATNAAATTACATCCCGGGGTTTTTGTTCTATTTCCAATTTTCTGGGATAAGCATCATACGACCACATCAATCCCAGGAATTCTTCTTTTTTGTAATTTAACTTTTGGCGAGTAAAGAATTTAAATATAACTTTGTTATAATCACTCCCGACAACCTCATCGTCAAGTTTGTACAGTTCCATCAAGCGAACAACAATTTTTAAGTTTAGTAGCAAATAGATAATCAATATGTATAGATTAACACTTTCAAACCCTGTTCCCTTTTCGTTACAACCACTAAGTGGTTTCCTTTTCAGACAATTCACTCAAGCATGCTCGAAATTTACTAATTCCATCAAATGACGATTCCTTTCTTTCCTTTCCCGGGGCGAGACATTTGACGCGGTACCTTTCTCTTATCTTACAATATATTTTCTATTGGTGGTACATATTCTTCCAGCAAAATATTAGGATAACCAGAAAAAGAATGATATATCAAACATAAGAATAACTAAATGAAGAAGACTACCAACATTGGCTTCTTCCTATCTCCTCGAAAACTAAAGCAATCTACATGTGTAAATTTGAGAACAGTAATCTACTCCAGGTCTACCCCTCATATTCCTATTTCTGCTTATAATGCATCTCTAACTACCTTCTCGTACCAACCTATCTCACCTGTTTGTTATCGACTTCCATAAGACCATTTGGTCTCCTATATCTTTTCTAATACTCCCTCATTTCTATCATTTACAACTTCTCGAGAAATTTGCATCATTTTCTGTTTTTCGACTGATTTGTTGGGTTGTCTTAAATTATTTTTTTACCCTAATTAGGACCTACTTCTCCCAATCCCTTATTAGTGATTAGCCATGAGTAACATTAACTCCACTTTTGGATTAAAAATTGTACAAAAACGCCGAAAGTTTTAAATATGTAGTAAAGTTTTGCAAAATTTCATCCAACAACGGTATTAACAAATAAAAATGCCAAAATTTGCCTTGCAACAGTGCAACATTCTTCAAGAAGTAACTAACGATTAACACGTTTAATCAAAAGCCAGAAAGATTAGGTACTTACCCTGTACATCCATTAGTATCTGGAACTAAACTGTTTCGAGCGCTTCTACTGCCTTCAGGCACTAGACTGTACCTATAATTCCTGTTATAATTGTCAGGCACTAGACTATTTCGCGCACTAAGACAAGTGTCCGGCACTAAACTACCCCTAGGGCTCCTGCTGTACACTTCATTAGGAACGAGACTGTGTCTAGGACTTCGCGAAAGTAATTGTTCGTTCACTAAACTGTTTCGAGGACTTAACGCTGATTCTGGCACCAAACTGTTCCTGGGACTTAGAGCGGATTCGGGGACTAGGCTGTTTCGCGGACTTGCAGCACAGTCAGGTACCAAACTATTCCTAGGGCTTAATGCTGATTCGGGAACTAGACTGTGACGCGGACTTTTGGAAGCGTATCCCATAACAGGCTCGGATGCGTCTAGAGAAATATTGGGGACTATGCTGGGACGTGGACTGTTGCTGGTGTTGTGCGGGACAAAAATGCGTCCGACATCGCTATCCACAGGGGACACAGCAATGCTTGCTCTGCGACCTGGACTTGTCCCCGCCGAACGCGCTGGTCGTGTTTGGGGAGACGATGCCGCACTCCTTGATGCCCTTCTACGTCTGGACGATGAACTTCGATGAAGCATTTCTTTCAGTCAGTTGTTAGTACATTTCTCTGAAACTACAATCAAATGATAAAGTAAATACACCCCGGGATGGACCAATTTAATAAATTACCGCTTCTGTGGGTAACTGTGTACAAGTTTAGAACGTTAGTAAACGAGAAATGTCAATTTAGATATGAGCCCTTAAAATATTAGCTTTCTGATCCGTGGACGTACTACTACCTGAAAATATAGTTTTATTTATTGTCCTAAACAAACATCGTCATACAAAAAGAATACTGAGAAGGAGTACAGAAGAAGCCCTATAGAAACAACTTACGAATCTAACTTACGATCTTGTTCTTGTTATTAAACAACTTATATTATTATCGAACTTGTTTGAAATCAAATTAAGGGCGACATAGCTTCAGATTAAATGTAAGATTCATGTAGATATGTGAAAATAGGCTATTATTAGTTCTGTCGCCTCAAATGGATTTAGAAGTGAGTTATCAAAAGTTAGAGCGTTGATTAGTGTCATATCCAATTCGACAACACATTCGCACTGGATAACAACGTTTTGGGATTACTAATTACAATTTCGTACGTGAACGATATCTCTCCATTAATTGAATTAGAATCAGTTTGAGTCGGCCGCAGATGCAAATAATGCTTCCATTCGGGCGAATCCATTAAGAAAGTGACTAATGGATATTTCCCAATGTTACTTGTAATTAAGAGCTTTAATATTAGGCATTAGCCAAACAATTTTCATAAAACGTTGAAGGAAGAAAGCATTCGTCTTTTCAAGACAAACTTTTTTGCATTATGAAAACCTTGTCTTACAAATTTGACATTTTCGGGATATTTTTTTAAAAATTTGATGCGATCTATCGACACCTATACAATCAAAAGTACTACTTTCTTTATTAAGCCTTCTCGATTCGTACAGATGTTTCTTTTTAATGAAGCATCAAAGGTTACGATTTGTTTTTTACGATTAAACGGCTTTCAGTGCTGCTAGGTCAATCAGCATCCAATTGAAAATGAACCAGCGAAGCATTTGATTAAAAAAAAAAGAGTGAAACTGTCGTCGGCCAATCAGCATTTCCCTGTTCAATTAAATGTCTAAATGTCGCCAGTTAAATTGTAACAGTTAACCGTAGCATAGTATTTTTCAGTAGATACTGGCGAATTTTTGGTTTGGCAGGTTGGCAAGGACAACAGGAAACAAATGAATTAACTCCGATTGATCGAATGTTACAATTACCGAGCTTTTGTTTTCACTGCAAACAGCAATACTTGACAAACCGCGGGAGATGTTATAGTTAAAAATAACTGGCTGTTTGGACTGAAACTGACTCAAAGGCCAGTTTCAGATGTTTGTCATTGGATCCGACAATTAGCTGTCAACTATCAAAGCAATAAAAACTTAAGATTCTACAAAGCAATAGTAAATATGTTGTCAATGACTTGAATGTATAGTTTTTTATACAGTAATTTTATCTTCATGTTTGTGTATAAAAATGAAGGCGCTTCTTCATTGTAACTAACCTAATTAATTATTGTTTTGGAGTCAAAATAATACGAATTCCGTTCGTAAAATCAAAAACCATATCGGACTAAGAAAGTCGTCTTAAAATTATGTGGATGATGTCGCAACTCCTAAGCATTTTTCTACTGTTCTCCACGTCCCTGAGACAGTTCGTTATAGCTACGTGACTTTTATAAAGTCTATCGAATTTCATCTGATAAAATCTTGATTAGCAGGCATTCCTTGGGGTGGCATAGCCAACCTAGATGCAATTATCGATGTCGCACACCAGAGCCTCCATCCACCATAGGTCCTTTATCAGAGCGAACTTATTACAAGTCGCGGCAAATTAAATTTTATTCGTTCCAGACTTTCCTACAGGAAATGGAAAAAATCCACCGCAAATTTTAATTGAAAAAAAAACCCTATTTTTTCCGTTTTTATTGTAGAATCTTCTTCACTTAATTAACGTCATTATCACTCTTCTTATTCAAGCTTAATTAAGACAGTCTCCTAAAATTTAACACCTCGGGACTGCTAATTAACAACAACTTAAGGCCATCATTTGTTTATCTTAGCATTCCATCTTATGTTTCGAAACAACAAAAAAAAACCACTTCCAATTAGTGAAGGCGATTTGTTTTGATTTAGATCACAACGGACTTGTAATCAACATAAATTGAATTAGACGGTTCTGAATGAAAAAAAAAAAAGAAATTCAGCCACAAAACCTCATAGGAAAGTTGTTAAACGAAATTTCTAATCTTTTGGCTTGCTCTGGATTATTTACTTCTACTTGAAGCATTTTGGCTTCAGCGAAAAAATGAGCAATTAAACCAAGATCGCTGTCGCGCTTAATGAAGACCTCGAATAACATCGACATGTGGATTGGAACAAGACGAAAAGGAAATGCAAAAAATAGAAAATCAATAAAAACATGTACATATGTATGCATGCACGGTGTTTATGTACAAACGTTCTCATGAAGTGCTTCGCATACAGAGCATTTCGGTGAATTTTCAGAATTTATCATGTATAAATCCCTAGCAACCGCTTTATAAAAGTATTTATCGCATGTGCGAGGTCTGTTCAAAAAGTGTCGTGAATTTTAAATTTCCGCGGGTTACGTATATCAGACGAAAACATTGATGAAGTGAAGAAAATAGTACTGGCCAATCGTCGAATCACCGTTAGAGAAATTGCTGAGGACCTAAGCATATCGACTGGCTCCTGCCATTCGATTTTTACCAATGATTTGGGCATGAGACGGGTCGCCGCGGAATTCGAATCAAAATTGTTCAATTTCGACCAAAATCAGCATCGCATTAACATTGCTAAGGATCTGTTGGACTCTGTCCGCTGCGACCCAAAGCTCCAGAGGGTTATAGCTGGTGACGAATCATGGGTTTATGGTTATGACATGGAAACCAAAGCTCAATCATCCCAATGGAAGCTGCTGGAAGACCGAAAAAAGTGAGTCAAGTTAGGTCGAACGTGAAGGTTTTGCTTACAGTTTTTTTCGATTGCAAGAGCGTGGTGCATCATGAGTTCCTATCACAGGGTAGAACGCTTAATAAGGAATATTACTTGCAAGTTTTGCGCAATTTGCCCAAATCAATCTGCCAAAAAGACCCGGATTTGTGGAAGAACAAAAATTGGCTTTTGCACCATGAAAACGCCCCTGCTCATACATCGTTGGTTGTGCCCAAATTTTTGGCCAAAAATAACACACTATTAATGCCGCAGCGTTCGTATTCCCCAGATCTTTCCTTCTGTGAATGTTTCTTGTTCCCGAAACTGAAGAAGCCCATGAAAAAACGGAATTGAAGAAGGAGCTGAACAAGATTACAAAAAATGAGTTTCTGAAGTGCTTCGAGGTTTGGGAAAAACGTTGGCACAAGCGTATATTCACATTTCTCTGACACTAGAACATCCCACAACCTTAACCATTAATCTAGATCTACCTCTACTCCTCTTAACACTGTATCTACTTCTAATATGTCTTTAACTAATCCTTAATGCCTGAGAAAGCGTCCTACCAGCCTATTTCTTATTGACTTCCATAACGGCCTCTATATTCCTAATGCTTCCTCATTCTTAACTAAAATCCTTCAATACAAAACTATCATTTTATTACGTGTTATTCTATCTTCAATTTTAATTAATAATATTTACACGATAGATAGTTAATGCAGATATATTTATTGTCTATTCGAATCAGTTCGTCCAAGCGTAATTTGTAGAGACAATGTTTTGTTTCCAAGCCAGCTTTGATTACGAAAATACCCCACAATCGATAAACGATCTTGAATTTTTTATGAAGTGCTTTATTTACAAAGAAAATTGAGTCAACTTGTTTTCGTCGTTTTCTTGACCAATTTCTTGGTGTAGGTACTTATAATCGTCAACAGAAAAATATCCAAAAATCAACCATTTCGAATCGAAATCGAAAATGTATTCATACTGTAACAGGTAGGCCGTTTTACACATCATACAGCAAATGAAAAACAGCTAACACTAAAAGACGAACAACCCCGTGCATAATAAATTTTCATTTTCGTTTTCCGGCTGTCTTTCTTGCAGACAAAACGTGAAGGGTCGAAGTAAATATATAGCAAAGCGATGTACAGGAGCAGACACCGTACTTTGAAGTTTACTTCTACAAAACAACCGGCAACCCAATCCGCAACTTTCAACCAAAAACAAAAAAAAAAAACATTCTTCTGATATTTTGGCTTTGCAGCTGTATTATGCGTACGTATTTTACTTGCAGAGGAAAAGCAACTTTTTCAGCAGAAAACTCCTTTCAGCTGTTTACCTACCTGTCTTTACAAACGTATTAAAAAGTATAATGCAATGTTTACCTTATAGATTTTCTTCTAAAACACGGGATTGTAAACTTCAAATAAGGGCTCGTAAGTGACTTAAGTTGGTGTGAGACATCTGTCGGTCTATTATCTTAAACATAAAGAATTACGAAAAAAATTCTGAAGCGGTTTCACATACTGTATAGAGGATTGCTTTTGAATGGTATTCAGCTGAGTAGTTTGAATGTAGTTGTAACCAAAACTTATAAAATATAAATAATTCAGAAACCATTTCACAAATTATGACAGGGTAGGATTTAGAAGAATTTGAGCGAACGAAGTCAGAAGTTATTCCTTTTTACAATGAATTTCCACCTAGTACAAAGTAAATCGTATTGAACTCCACTTAATATAGCATTGTGTTACAGATGGCGTTTACCGCACAGTTTGTAGGATTTTATAATCTTATTCAGCTATTATATAAAATCTTTTACTTTAAATAAAATGCATACATTTGAAAATTAAATCTGATAGTTGGTACATTGGAATGTAATTGTGTAAGTGGCCCCTTCGCTTCTAAACGTGTCTCATTTGTTAGACATGTCCGTCCAATTACGAAATGCCAATTCAACCCTTAGAACAAAGCCTAACACAGACTCTTCTCCCATGTACAGATTGCAACCGAACTGGTCCTCATAAATATGGAAATCAATATTATCTGATCAGGGTTGTCTGA